GTACCCCTGTTAATATTTCTTACCTGTTATCTCTCTTTCGGCCAGGTTCACGGCAAAACTGCACCCTTCACTGTGTAACGACAAATCCTGATCATGACTTGTTAAGTTCCATCTCCATTCTACCTCTACCAGACTTGGCGAGTTGACTTCATCCAAATTACATTATTCAGAAGAAACACATTTATCAAGACTGCACGATGGAGATCGAAGAAGGAAAGAAACAGGCATGGAAAAATCACGAAATCCTGGACGGATAGAAGTGCATGGGCCAAGTTTAATACTTCCGCATACCAATGATAGAATTCACTTGTAATGCTAATGCCGTTTAACAATAGGGGCAACTGCGCTGTATCGGCCTTTCAACTAGACTGGTTCCCAGGCCCTCCTTTATCGAATCTGACCTCCAACGGAGCGGGAACCAGTCTACCTGTCACCTCGTTGCCGTAGCAGCCAAACGGAGTCATTGACCTTGGTTATGGCACAGACTGCAAACTCAGCTCACATAGTCAGTATTACCGTCGTTTTCAGTAAACCTTTCTACTAATTTGAGGGGACAGCAATAGATCTCAGTAATGCACCGCGCATATTTACTGGTGGAATGTTGATCAGATGACCGCGGATCGTCCAATCAAGGTTCCACTCTCATGTAGATGACTTAAATCAAAACTCTTAACAGGGAAAAGGGTTATGAAATGGGTATTTAAATTGATAATTAATCATAATTACCAGAATTGAACACCACGAATACTTTTAATATCTTTGTTAAATACTAAATGTTCCAACAACCCATTTCAACAAAAAAAGATGACAACATGTGGTTACAGTATAATTAAAAGTTTATTTCGAGACCCAAATGGATGTCCAAAAAATGATATATTGAACAAATAAACCTGTTGTAACAATAACTCCCAGATTCTCGGGAGATAAACAGCTGGGTATGACAAATAAAAAGAGTCATTTCTAATCAAATGAAAATGAACTATACTTGGTAATTTTCAATTAACTGGATAAACCTTTTTAACGCTTTGCTAATCGCGTCTGAGAAAAAAACCCACTTATTTCCCACAATTAACCAAATAGTTACAACAGTAATCAGACATGTTAAAAGTACACGTCCAATATTTTCACATCAATACACGTTTTACTGAAACTCGATAAAATCCAGTATTTTGTAGTTAAAGCAATCACAAATATTGCCCATGTATCATATCATCTGACTTTGCTGAGCTATGTTGGATGATCTGTAGACTCATCAATCATGACTCAACTTTCACTTGGTTTGTGCTTCATATTTAGTTATCATCATCATTCGTCCCCTTAATAACTTTGAATATGGATCGAGTTAAGCGATTGATAAAACAAATATTAAAACCTTGTGTGAATGAAAATATGATCACTATCATACAAGTCATGATATATGATAAATATAATAACATGTTCAATACGTGTAACAGTTGAAGGCTTACAGAAATATTGCGATATATGCAGACACCGTGTTTTTGTTTTATTCAGTTTCCAAGAAAGCATAACTTTCAACTCTGACAAAGCTCCCTTGAAATATTTGTATAATCTTCATAACTTGTAACAGCTGAACAAAATATCAGTTTCAGCTTCTCTTCATTTTCGATTTCTAACAAAACCTGGTGTTAACCCAACAAAATCTGACTTGTTCTGAAGTGAAAATGAGACAATCCAGTGACATAAGATGCACTAACACAATTGGTTACTTTCACGGTAAGTGTGGAACTTTCACAGTAAATGATTCAGAGAACAAATTTGGAATCATCAATATTAAGTATCTGATATAAGTATTATATTATATAACTTATGAAGTGAAGCCACAGGTAAACATGACATGCGCAGTTATCGCACCAAAAGGACTGGCTGCAATTTTGGTGTACTGTCCAAAGGAGTTTAATACATTTAATACCGATCGTATTATTCAAGTGGCTTCTGTCCAATAAATAAATACACACATTGAATGGTATGTAAACTTTCAATCCAAGAGACCTTTCTCAGTTTTGTTAGAATCAGTTGCATACAAAAATTAATGTTTGTGATAAACTCGTGTGGCACAATATAAAAGGTAAAATATGCACACCTCAAACTTGCAGTTCGATTTCTCATAAAAAGTTTGGTGACACGAAGATATGTACAAGTTATAAACAGCATGAACCATTTTCAGGAAATCTCAATTACACAATTTATCTATTCCCATAAATTGAGTGATTTCAGGTGAATCGTCTTCTGCAAACAAGCCGCCCACGTTCCTGTGTGACAACCCAGTCCATCAATGATTGAAAAATCTTAAAGATTGGCAAAGTTGGGCATCTCCCCAACTGATGACGCAATGGGTGATAGATCTTGTCCATTTATGTTGCATTCCAATAAATCGAGTGATTTCAGGTGAATCATCTTCTGCAAACAAGCCGCCCACTTTCCTGTGTGACCACCCAATTCCTTATTGTATGAAAGGCCAAGATCGGCCAAGTTGGGCATCTCCCCAACTGACGATGCTATGTGTGATAGATCTTGTCCATTAATGTCGCATGTCCATAAATCGAGTGATTTCAGGTAAATCATTTTCTGCAAACTAGCCGCCCACGTTCTTGCGTGACCACCCAATCCCTTATTGAATGAAAGGCTAAGCTCGACCAAATTGTGGGCATCTCCCCAACTGATGATGCAATATGTGATATATTTTTTCCATTGATGCCACATTCCGATAAAGTGAGTGATTTAAGGTGCATCATCCTCTGAAACGTGTGGTCTAGCGGTGCAGCACAGGATTCGTGATCGAGAGGTTGTGGGTTCGAACCCCGCCGTGGCCATGCGTGTTGTGCCCTTGAGTAAGGCACTTCACCTCAACTACTCCTCTCAACCCAGGTGTTATATGGGTACCGGCATTGTTCAATGCTGGGAAGGTAACAGACTCGCCGTGGAGGAGGTGTGGCGATCCCCCCACAGCAGCATATGAGTCTGGCCCAATCGCTATGAAAGATAGATGGGCACTCCGTTCCTGTGAATACAGGTTCGTCCCCTTTACCTTTACTTTTTTACCTTTATCCTCTGAAAACTACCCGGCCACGTTCCGGCGTTACCACCCAATCCCTCATTGCCTGAAAGGTCAAGATCGGTCAAGTTTGGCATCTCCCCAACCGATGATGCAATATGTGGTATGTCTTGTTCATTTATACCACATTCCGATAAATTTAGTGATTTAAGGTGCACCATCCTCTGCAAACTAGCTGCCCATGTACCAGCTTTACCACCCAATCCCCTATTGCAAAAAAGATTAAGATCGGCCAAGTTTGGTATCTCCCCAACCGATGAAGCAATATGTGGTATGTCTTGTTCATTTATACCACATTCCGATAAATTTAGTGATTTAAGGTGCACCATCCTCTGCAAACTAGCTGCCCATGTACCAGCTTTACCACCCAATCCCCTATTGCAAAAAAGATTAAGATCGGCCAAGTTTGGTATCTCCCCAACCGATGAAGCAATATGTGGTATATCTTGTTCCTTTATGTCACATTTTGATAAATTTAGTGATTTAAGGTGCATCATCCTCTGCAAACTAGCCTTCCACGTTCCTACGTTACCCATTCCCGAATTTTTTGAAAGGTTGAAATCGGTCAAGTTTGGAACTTGACCTAATGCTGCAGCAATGTGTCCAATGTCAGCGCTTTTCAGTGAGCAATCACTTAATATTAACTTCTGAAGTTCCGTCAGGTTTTGCAAGAGTGGAGACCAGATTCTTGCAGAACCACGCAGACAGAAAATGCCATCAAGGGTCAATCTGACTAACTTTCTGTGATCGCTGAATGGCTGCAGTATATCCATGAAATCCTTGACAGTGAGTTCGAACCAATTAATGCTCAACGCTATGCCATTACTCCATGAATGTACACGCAAATAGTGATGGTCAATATAACTACCCAAATCAAAATCCACCAGGTTCCGCATGCAACTTACTGATTCAGCGATATATTTAAAATCGCTGCTTTTAATGCTACAATGTCTCACGTCAAGCTTCTTTAAGTGCATCATCCTCTGCAAATTAGCCGCCCACGTTCCGGCGTTACCACCCAATCCCTCATTGTGTGAAAGGTTTAGTTTAGCCACGTTTGGCATCTTCTCAATTGATGATGTAATATGTTGCATATCTTGTTCATTTATGCCACATTCCGATAAATCGAGTGATTTAAGGTGCCACATCTTCTGCAAACTAGCCGCCCACGTTCTTGCGTTACCGCCCAAGTTACCATTCTTTGAAAGGATGAGATCGGCCAAGTTTGGTACTTGACGTAATGCTGCAGCAATGTGTTCAATGTCAGCGATTTGCAGTGAGCAATTACTTAATTCTAACACCTGAAGTTCCGTCAGGTTTTGCAAGAGTGGGGTCCAGATACTTGCTGAACCACCCAGACCGTAAATCCTATCAAGGGACAATCTGACTAACTTGCTGCGATTAGTGAATGACTGCAGTACATCCGCCAAATCCTTGGCAGTAAGTGAGAACCTCTCGATGCTCAACTTTATGCCATTACCCAATGACTGTACACGCAAATAGGCATAGAAACCATGAAAACCAGCACAGTCCTGGCTTTCATGGTTTCCATGACTATAGCCGGAAACCAGTAATTCACAATCCACCAGATTCTGCATGCGACTTACTGATTCAGCGATATATTTCAAATCGCGACTTTTAATGCTACAGTCTGTCATGTCAAGCTTCTTTAAGTGAATCATCGACTGCAAACTAGGCGCCCACGTTTCAGCGTTACCACCCAATCCCTTATTGCCTGAAAGGTTAAGATAGGCCAAGTTTGGCATCTCCCCCACCGATGATGCAATGTCTACTACATCGCCCGGGTCTAAGCAACATCCATTCAAACGAAGTTCCGCGAGGTATTTCATCCTTCGCAAGTTGACCGCCCACTCTTTGGCTGAGCCGCCCAAATTATTTCTTCCAAGGCTAGTTTCAGTCAAGTTACCTCCATTACGAAATGATGATAAAAGTGTGTTAGCATCACTGCTATCAGTTTGTGTGCATCTATCGAAATGCAACACGCGCAAGTTTTTCAATTCAGGCAAATGCAAAGCTACGACTTTACTTAACCTTGACAGGTTACACGCCTCTAAGTGAATTTTGCTTACTTTATCGGAGTAATCTACCCCCGAGAGCTCTCTCTGCTCGGCAACATGCTGCAGCAACCACACGAACGAGTTAACGCTGTCGTTTCCACTTAACTCTATGTCTTCAGTAAAAAAAGACTCAATGAAATCTACTGATAACAAATTTCTTGATTGACTTTCAAAGTAGCAATTTAAGGCCAATTCCTTTACTAGCTTGGGTTCAGTATCGTTATCACGCAGAATCTTCTCGTGCAGCATCCGCAATACATGCCGTGTGCATTGTTCATTGTCGCCGCAGCAGAAGCGCAACAAGTACTCAAAATTCATAGGATCTCCAAGTTTATCAAGAATCTTCTGAAATTCCCCATCGCCTTTGCCTAAAAGACTCTGAGAGTACATAGCTGCGCAGTACTCTTGAATTGTCTTATGAATAAACTGTACGTTATTGTGCGTACCGTGCCACTTAATGACGCTCTGGCTGGTGAGAATACCCGCTTGTATTGCTTTATCGAGTACACTCTTATCAAACTCTCCCTCTTGAAATGAAAGCTTTTGCTCGAGGGAAATAAGCCCTTCTAAAGCAACTTTGCCGATTGAAATCACCACTTCCGATATTGCTTCTTTTGATATTTCAGGCATTTTTCTTCGAAATATGTATCTAATTGCCTCATTGAACAATCTTGATAGAGTATCTGGTAGTGTTTCCTCTTCCCTCCATATTAGACACATTAGCAGGAGTATCATAGGACTCCTTGCTAAACCAGACAGTACACCCGATGACTGAATTCTATCAAGAAGTCTCTCAGCCTCATCAAGCTTTGCACGGAAAAATTTTCTCACATACTGCCCAATATCTTCCATCCTAAATCCCAAAACATTCACATGGGTGAAAGGTTTCTCAATGAGTGATTTGTTTTTGCTTTTCAATTTAGCAAAGTGAGAGGGGCGTGTTGTTACAACTACAAAACATTCTTTACCAAATTTTCGATTGAGCATTCTTAGAACGGACCCAAATTTCTCTGGTTCGAGGTTAGTTGTCCCGAATTCATCAAAACCATCTATGAGAATGAGCACTCTACTACCATTGTCTTTAATGAATGATTCCAAACCACCTTTATCTACTGCTGTATCATCTGCTAAAAGTTGATCAAATACTGATTCAACCAGGTCAGACGTTTGCTTGAGAGCGGACATTTTCAAAACAAACACAAGTGAAAACTGTTTGAGTGCATCACCCTTTGCCCAGTCGTATGCAATTTTGTCAATAATGGTTGACTTCCCCATCCCGGGTGACCCACACAAAATGGCCCGATTAATCACTTTTCCGTCTCTTGTTTTTAAGACGAAAATGTCTCCATACTCTTGAACATCGCCCTCTATGTCATCCTGGTCACCCTGTTCTAATTGCAACTCTGTATATATATCCGTTATATGTTTCATGTCGTCACCGGCCCAAGGTATTAACTGAACGTAGCTACCTGTTTCAGTATACCGGTTTTTTAATTCACTCCTGCAATGATCAGTAGCATCACTCGGACTGGATTGCGCTCTTCCCATCTCGCCTGTTGAAAGAAAAGCAACGACATCAGGGGTGTATTTTTCAGCGGTAATGGGGCAAAAATAATAGGTTCATGATTTTATTAATTCTTCAAGTTAAAGTTTCTTGGCCCCATCCATTTAGCAATTTTTGTAATGCAATCCTTGAAAATGCACCCTCTGTATCCCAGTTAACCTTATTTTCAATCAATATCCAATTTGCTGTTTTCAAGACTATTATGGTGCCTTTTTTGGATTCTATGCTAATGCGAATTTTTGTATTTGTGAGCAACATGTGATGTTATATCAGGCAAAAACCTCAACGTTGCAATTGTTTGCACCCAAACAGTTGCAAGAATGTGGACATTTTTCGGTTTGTTTGTTGATTTGTTGTGTAAGTACCTGTAAGTAAGCCACTAAGTTAAACTTTCTCAACGAGCAGATTTATGAGTTCACATTTAGTGCCCAAATTCCGTGAACCTAACTTTGTAACCCTGAAAGACATCACAGCAACAACGCTCTCAGTTGTCGAAATATAGAAATTTTAATGTTAAATAATGCACTTTTCGTTGAAATAAACCTTAAACAGATGTCAAATAATTTTAATATATGTAACAGACTAAAAGTTGCACAAAAGGTGTTTTTTTAAACAAAATCATTTCATGGATATTTTAAAGCTATTTTAATGGCACATTTTGTCTTGTCTGTACAACTTCAATTTGTTCGCATTGGGGTCATTCCATGTCAGACCAACGCACTTTTTTACCTCATGTCTTCTGATTTTAATAAAAATTGCTGTGCTTGTAGGTCCTAATGAGCAATGAATGCACACCAATTTTTAGCCCGATCCGACCTACCATGTGGTCAGGGCAGAAGCCACAAAAAGATGGCATTTTTAGAGTAAAATACCACCCTTTTGGTATAAATATGTCAAAACTATTGCAATTTTCATCGAATATATGTGAATTTGGTATTAAAATAATGAGGATTGCATGCTCAAATCACTTCTTTTGTCAAAATTAAATTTTGTGAAAAGTAGGTCACGTGACCTTTAATATGCTATTGTGACCTTTGACCCAATTTTTGTAATAATGTATCATTCCGAAAATCAACGAAATAAAAATAACTTGCTAGAACATGTCTTCCTCTATCAGAATCTACTAAAAATCAGTTGGGGTCTTCAAAATTTACAACTTTATGACTATTTTTGTACAGTTGGTAGGTTACAAATGAGTCAACTTATAGACTTTACATAAGAAATACACCAACACAACTTACTATTCTGTTTCTTAAGTTAATAAAATTTATCTAGATTTTTATGTATAAAGTACAAAGCCAGGAAAAACAAAATTCTACCTTCTGATTCCAAAGAAACTGTTTAATCAGAATATTTGGACTCGGAAGTGTGCTAACCACGAACAGTAACCAGGCCTTCACCCAGTACAGCGGACTCACGTCCAGGTGAAATTCATCTCAAAGGAACAAAATGCCAAGTCTGTGAGAGTCATTAAAGTTCAAGAAGCACAGTGATGAATGAGTAAAGGTTACTTTGATTGTAATATTAAGTACTATCTTCAAGCAAACTTGAATCCTAGACCCTGATTAGTCCATCTATAGCAACAACTGTGTGATTTTATATAATATTGCACAGCTATATTGCACCCCAGATATTAAAAATGTACGTGTACATATGTTGTGTTATTTCCTGCTGAACGGACCAATACACTACATGTATGCACGTACATCTTCACCGCGTGTATGCATTTGATATCAAGTTTGCTTGAAGATAAATTGGTTATAAATCCCACTTGCGCTCGTGGAACACGGAATTATGTAGTGCATCGAGTGGCATATGGGTCACGACAGCATTGCATTATTTCATATTCCAAGCGCGCTCGTGGGATAACTAATTATCAGTGGCACCCAGGAAGGGGGGGGGGGGCTTGAACCCACCCCCAACATTGTCAATTTGTTTGTTTGATTTTAGGCTAGTTTTGTTGGTCCAATCTTTTACAGAAATTTGAACCAAAAAAAAATTAGGACGCCCCCCCCCACCAAAAGCCAAATCCTGCGTGCGCCACTGCTGATAATTTACACTATGAGTCTGGTTAGACCTCATCAGCCCTCAGAATGAGAAATTCACAAACCAAGATATATTTTAGAAACTTTAGAAACAGAAAAGTAAGTTGTGTTGGTGTATTTCTTATGTAAAGTCTATAAATTGACTCATTTGTAACCTACCAACTGTACAAAAATAGTCATAAAGTTGTAAATTTTGAAGACCCCAACTGATTTTTAGTAGATTCTGATAGAGGAAGACATGCTTTAGCAAGTTATTTTTATTTCGTTGATTTTCGGAATGATACATTATTACAAAAAATGGGTCAAAGGTCACGAAAGCATATGAAAGGTCATGTGACCTACTTTTCACAAAATTTAATTTTGACAAAAGAAGTGCTTTGAGCATGCAATCCTCATTATTTTAATACCAAATTCACATATATTCGATGAAAATTGCCATAGTTTTGACATATTTATACCAAAAGGGTGGTATTTTACTCTAAAAATGTCAGTTTTTTTGTGGTTTCTGCCCTGACCACATGGTAGGTCGGATCGGGCTAAAAATTGGTGTGCATTCATTGCTCATCAGGACCTACAAGCACAGCAATTTTTATCAAAATCGGAAGACATGAGGTAAAAAAGTGCGTTGGTCTGACATGGAATGACCCATTGTCAAATGTAGGTGTACAGTTTGCCAAACTTTGTTCAATAACTGAGCTGATATTCTCAGTAATGTAAATCTTTAGTTACATACCTAATATTTCCCGAACCAAGTCGTTCCTGCCCGAATCAATCAGAGCCTTCTTTAACGTCTGTCTTGCTTCTGTGTAATTGTCCTGCTTTCTCCACCATGTGCTTAACATCTCAAAGCACTGTTTTACAATGTCGTGGGGATGATTAGCCTTAATTATTTCAACATCTTCTTTTGAGGAATGTAAGTTTAAGGCCAATTCTTCCCAGCGTGTTCCGATCTTCTTAGAATGTTTCAAAATGGATCTGTCGTCAGGAAGTGTATCTGTAAATGAAAACCAATACATTGCAACGTGAGCAAAGTGCCTTCACTTGAATTGGAAGTCCAAAATATTATTGGTAGAATGTATTCGGAACGAACGCGTGTATTTTTGTTTTGGACATACCTAAAGAAAATCCGATTGTTACGTCCCAACATAAGAGACGTGCCTACTAGTGTTGTGCATTGGGTCGGGTTCGTTGACTTTGTTCAGGTCGGCCAAACCGACCCAAAACATTTAAGATATCAACCGAATCTTAATTTGAGACCCGTAAAAACCGACCCAACCCGACCTGACCAGACCAAAGTCAAGGAAAACCGACCCAAACCGACCCCAAAAACACGACTATATCTGGCTTGGGCAACTGAGTCCGTATTTTGTCCCTTAACTCACACCTAGCGCCACGTGAAGATCATCGTCTCTCAGTTACTGAATCGTACCGTGCGGCATTCACAACATTACCTAATGGTCAGCCTGCATGTTTTAGACCGCGCGTGCTGGATTGCACACAATGTCTTTATTGCCGAATGATTAAAGATGTCCTGTCGGTGGTTATATAATCGTGTATAGATTTTTTAATTGAGAAGATTTTCAAATTTCTATTATTTATATTTCTAACAAAATTAATTTTACTTTTATTTTACTTTCTACTTTTGAATGATAAAAAAAACCACTAAATATATATTTTTTAAATGATTAATTCACATAATTATTTGAAGTATAGTCAATTATTGCATGCGCCAGTTAGTAAGGGAAGGGTTGTCAATTTTTTTCCCCTTAAAATATCCTCCGGTGAACGTCAAATTTATTTCATTGATAAGTAGGACTTGCTTGAACACAATTCTTTATAGAAAAAGAGAGAAATCTTAACGATTTGGGGACAATTTGTAATTGTCAACTGACCCAAAATAACATTCCACAGTAATGCCTATATTTTTGGCTGTGGAAATTTAACATTCACATGCCGTGTTAATTCAGTATTAAACACGAAAGGTTTCGAGTATGAATATTAACATTAATTATTTGACTAGCCTGAAGAAGAAACATTGTTCCCCCCCCCCCACATCCAAGTAACCGATAACAAGTCTGCTCGCTAACTGGATATCTATGCGATGAAAAGGAATCCAGAAGCTGAGGTTTGTAGCCTCACAAAACCAGAAATAAAGTAGTTTTATTTTAAAAATTATAACATTTAAGTTGAACACTTGCTGTGAGCAAAAGAGCACTACAATATATTTTTGACAAAATTTGATTTTTGATAATAGAAAGGACAAACAATCGAATGAAAATAGAAAACGAAAGAAAGACAAAACATATATTTGATTCTGTGTATTTAATTACCTGATCTGCTTTCTGTCCCAGTCACTCCCACTTGTACCGGTGGTTGAGGTTTGTCTCGATCAGTACCTTTCTCCTGTCTTGGTCCGCGTCCCTGAGATGATGTTTTCCTTTTCTCCCCTTCTGCAACTTCTTCCTGTTTCATCCTCCGTTGCTCTTCAGAAGGAATCATTAAAGCCAGCTCAGCACGCCCGATTGAATTTAACGCATCGCTCAAACTCTGAAATCCTTCTTTGCGATTTGCTTGCTTTCTCCACCAAGAAAGCAGCATCTGTAAGCTCCTTTCTTTGTCGTCTTGGTTGGTGGTTTGGATTTGCCTGATTTCATCTTCTCCGTATCCCAGGGATCTGGCCAATTTTTCCCAGGATGATTCAGCTTTCGAAGCCAAGTCCCGAAAGAACTGATCATCATCAGGGTGTTTGTCTGCCAAATAAAACAAAAAAACCTCTTCGTGACTTCAATGAAATAGATGGATTTTCGTTTGAAATTTTCAAAAAAGAAATGAAAATTAAACACAAAGAATTAGCAAACAAAAAATAAATCTGATTTCCTTCACTGTTTGCTTATACCTGTGTTGGTCCTTATTGAATTACAACGGAGAAGGATGCGGTGACATTAATAAACATCCTAACACTTGTACCAATGCTAATAAAAATCGTTAGAGCATCAATCGTTTTATACTCCTTTCCTTTTCCCGATGAAATTCTAATGAATACATTTGCTTATACCGATCTTTTCCCTTGACATTAATCTATTTGGAGGAGCGCATGTGGCATTCCCAGCTTAATTATGAGGGCTTAACGCCCGCAGTTTTTTTCTCCATTTTGGCAAGGCAATGTTTCTCATAAGCATTTACCTTTTGGTCCCCCGCCCAGTAGGCCATCAGTGCACAGACGGAGTGAGATGTTCTCATCCTGATGAATTCCACAGTCGTGAAGTGTCAGCAAGTTATGGAGCTGTCAAAAGAAATAAGATTTTTAACACGTTTTCGAGGTTTAAAGGTCTAAAGGTTTAAACGACAGTTTGGGGTTTCTGGTTCCACTACGCTTGTACAATACCTAAATATATATGTGACTTTTTTATGGTGCATTTTCACCTTGAAACTAAATCGGTTGGGGTAACACCAATAACTATTAAATTTCCTGAACTTAAGTGCGTAAACTCCATTGTGCCGACAACAAAAGCAGCACTATCTGTACACGACTTAAGTAATTGGAATCATAAGAGATTGTAACTGAACCCACAATGCATGGCCGTTTAATTCGATGAAATGCTAATTGGTATATTTAACCAACATGTTTACTTTGTAGAATATGGAGCCAATTTTACCTCAAAGTTACGAAAGTTTCTTCGGATGAACATTCGCTGTTGTTGAGGATGCACACCAATTTTCTCGCTTATTATCACTTTTAAGAGCAATACAGATGTTTCTGGATCCACTTGCAAACACATTATCTTCGGTTTTTGTGATCGCTGAGTGCGGATGAAGATCTGCACATATCTGCGACTGTCAGAAAAAAAAGTTCTGATGGCAAGACTTCTTAATTGTTGGAATTGGCATATCAAGGTAAGGAATAAAGGTAAAGACCATAACAGTATAATCATTCTCTCGGCCATTATTTAAGTGGAGACATTTTGTTCTCCAAAGAAGTTATATTTATCTCAAAACGAAAAACCAACAAAAAAAAACACGAAATTTGATGCTTAAGTAAAATTCTTCAAACACGAGATCGTAACTTACCTGATAAACCGAGGTTTGTCTTGATCACCAACTTGTTCCTTTTTCAGTTTCTCTTCCTCGGTTGATGCCGCCCCGTTTTGTTTGCTCTCCTCGTCAACTCCTGCATCATGACGCCTTTCTGGCTCAGATCCAGATGCTTCGTCTCTCGATTCGCTCGCTACTGATGTCCGCAAGAAAATTAGAGTGCATAGAATTGTTTACAAATAGCTTTTCACTTATTTTTACATTTTTAATTTGTTAAAAAAAACAAGGTAGTTTTTTTAATAGCTGATTTGCTGTACAGAGAGCGTGAGGTACCCCATCGATTCTTTTCTGTGTCCTGAAATACACAGCGTATGTTTAGTTTTCACTTTTAGCTCACCCGGTACATTTTGGGCCAAAGCAGTCAACCCAATGGCCTTAAATGCTCGTCTCAGCTTCTGAGCTGCTACCTCGCGATCTGTCGTCTTTTCCCACCAAGTGAGTAGCATATGACAACTATCTTCAGTGCTGCCTTTGTTGGTGGTTTGGATGTCTGTTATTTCCGCTTCTTCAAATCCTAGATGTTTGGCAAGTATCTTCCACGATGTTTCAATTTTCGGGGACAAGCCCTTGAGGTACTCATCATCAATGGCGGCCTTATCTGCCGAAATAATTTGTGCCTAAAATAAGTATGCCTTCGGTGATGCATATTCTATTGCGTCCACATGGTAAAGCAGTTAACTTAGGCCAATATTATTAACTACAGCCGCAACAAAAAGAGGCCGTTGTTCTTTATAACCAGCTCAACTAAAGGAGGTAGATTATTCACTTGAACATAATTGTTTTCCGAACGTGGTCATTTACCTTTTGGTACTTCGTTGTTTGTCACATTTTCTTCTTTGGTTGATGCCGCCCCGTTTAGTTTGCTCTCCTCGTCAACTCCTGCATCTTGACGCTTTTCTAGCTCGGGTCCAGCTACCTCGTCTTTTGATTCGCTTGTTACTGATGTAAGGAGGAAAACAGAGTGCATCATAATTGTATTGTTTACCAATTGTTTTTACACTGTCTTTACCGTTTTGTTTTACAATCAACGTGGCCGTTTTTTGTTGCTCAGGCCTATTTATTTGTTTAAAGAGCTCTGTATGAGAGCAGGGTGCCACACAATTTTTTTGACCTGAAAAAAGTTGTCAAGTTAATTCCTGTCGGCAATCACTGCTGAATATTAGAAAACTGTTTGTTAACGTTATAATAGCTCACCTGGTACATTTTGGGCCAAATCAGTCAACCCGATGGCCTCCAATGCTCGTCTCAGCTTCTGAGCTCCTTCGTCGCGATCTGTCGTTTTTTCCCACCAAGTGAGTAGCATGTGACGGCTCTCTTCAGTGCCGCCTTCGTTGGTGGTTTGGATGTCTGCAATTTCCGCTTCTTCACATCCTAGATGTTTGGCAAGTTCCTTCCACGACGATTCAATTTTCGAGGACAAGTCCCTGAGGTACTCATCATCAATGTTAGCTTTATCTGCCAAAAACATTAACTTTTAACTTCTGTAAAACATTTTTACTTATAACTTACAACTTATTAACTTATTAACGTCAGCTACAACAAAAAGCGACTCTGGTTCTTTATTAATAGTTAGCAGATTGTTTATTTACTTTAACATTTATCCCTTAACCTCCATCATTTACCTTTTGGGTTTTCTATTGACAGCCGGAGAGAGATGATTTCGTTCTTGTCGACACCATTCTCCTCAAGTGTGAGCAAGTCACAGAGCTAAAAAAGTGAATAATGTAAGAAAGTATATTACACAATCAGGAGAAACAGGGAGGATAAGATTTTAATCATTCAAACTTCCAGCAAATTACGTTCGTTGAAACCTTTCATAGTGTGGAGGGAGGGGTTGTGATTTTTTGAAAATAGTGTTTAAAACATGAAAATAATATGAGATCTTGCATTCTACATTACCCTTTCTAAAATACCGCCATGCGAAAATCCAGGTGTTGATATTTCAAATTGAACAACCTATCCGAACCGGTATTATTAATGAAAGTATACCTACCTGGAAGATTTCCCTGATGTACAGACGCTGATGTCGTGCCTCCACACCGATCCTCTTTTGGATTGTTTCTTTGAGAGATGAGACGAATGTCTCAGGATGGAGTTCGAAATAAAGTGTCTTGGATTGATGTGAGGAGGGAGTCCGGACAAAGACCTGCAGTTTCTGTTTTACGTCTTTGGTATTACTGTGAAAATAGAGGAGAAATCATGTGTAGTTTTAGAAATGCCTTATTCTAAAATAGAACGAGATCAACGAAGTATTCATATGGAAACTATATTCAGCGTCTCCTGTCACAGTCATTAGTCTTTAAATGGTGTTGCACAATTTCCCTGAACTTTTGAGTATCCGGAAAAAGTCAAAGATCATATTACTGTAAAACAGAGAGAAAAACTGTTTAGTTTTAGAAATGCACTATTCTAGTTTTAGAAATGCATTTTCTAAAATAGAACGGGATCTGTGAACAATTCATAATGAAACTAAAGTCAAAGTCACATCCACTGTCATGAGTCTATGAACAGTATCGCACAAGTTCACTCCAGTAGCTGAACGCGTTAATGATTCAACAAATCCTTCGACATTAAGCTACAATTATGACCCTCATTTGAAATGAATCACTGTCATTGCTGTTTACCTCTGACTTTTATGTGTCTGCTTTGATTGTCTTCGGATCCATCGTGTCGATGGTCTCCTTTTTCCAAGAAAAAACCGACTGGCGTTTACCACAGTAATCGTCGATAGTTCAGTAGTTTCTAGAAATGGTTTGGCGTGGTGAGCAAAGGAAAATCTCTCCTTTTTTGCTCGGGTTTGTACGTTAAACCGACCACAACAACTGCGAGGTCACATTAAATTATATTTATGTGGCTGGATTTTTCTTTCAGGAAGATGTTTTAAGAAAAAAAGCTTTTCCTTCAAAGGTTTACTTTTTGGTTTTTGCGTAATGAGAAGGCGGGTTGTCTGTACAGAATCACAGAGAAAATCGCCCTCTTCCTGAATCCAAATCCTGAATGGTCTTTCGCAGCATTTTGGTATTTGCCGAGTCGAAGGAAGGTGTAAAGTTCACTCGCAGAGAGGGAAATTAACTAGAAGTTGTCTATGTGCTGGCGTTCAATGTCCTACTGCGATGGATTGTATGTAAATCAGATATACGCCCCTCTAAGTAAACACAATAGATAATAAGAACTGTAACTCGAGATACGCATAACTATTTTCGTTTTGATAATGAACTCTTGCAAGGTAACACAGACTACGTCTGACCTGATTTTGTTTCAATTGGTTTGTACATAACGAGGCGGGACACCAGATCATGGGTTTATTGTTAATGGTTTACCAAACCACGGTTTCATCCCCAGGTACGGCTTCGTCTCTGACTTCAGAATAATTCTTGGAGTTTCTACTTTCACAACCAAATGGATATTCTTCAAACGTTGGCTTCGTGTGTGAAACAAATAGAAATAGCAAACAGGTTCACAGTGAATAAATATATCTTACTTGCTTAAAGATAATATGAGTTATAATATTTTTAAAAATTGTATTGATGTATTAATGTACTATGTTTATCTGTATTTGTGTAGCTTTTACATTCGTGCTTGTTTGTGTTTTTAAATTCCCACAATGGGACAGTAAACTTTGATTTTATTGTACTGTATTGAAGCAGTACGGATCCGGATTCCTCTTAGTCAGGGACCTCAAATTCAAAAGCCAAAACAGAACCGAAGCCGTGCCCTGGAAACCCCATTTTATTTGGCTTTATCCAGCCAGCAACATCAGACTATGTAAACAATCGCATAAACAACGTAAACACTTCAGTTGTGGACATTTGACACATGCGTGATATTTTAGATAACAGTCAGTAAGCTCTTGGGGACAGATACTCATTGTTGGGTACAATCTTTAAGACTCTCAGGTTACGGTAGCATGCCCTCAGAGCAGAAAATCATTCCAACAAGGAAGTTGCTTTTCCCGTGCTATGTTGGCATTCCAGCCCGGAGGCATTACATGTAACGCATCGGAAGAAAAAAGTTGACATTTTGTTGTGGAATAATTACCAAATTTTGACGAGTTAGCCGTGTTTCTTTTGTGTTCTAGCAGGGACCATTATTGTGTAATTTAGTTATAAAAATAATTCTTTACAAAGTAAGTAACGGTACTTAACTTCTTTAATGAACGGTATTTTTACATTTATTTTACATAGAACATGGCGTTTATGTAGCGCCCTCACTCGTTCAATATGGCCGATTCTTTGTCAACACTGCTATATACGACCTATTCCTTATATTTGTCAACTACGCTTTATATGACCGCTTCTTTGCTTGTCAATTACACTTACACATACTAAGTGCACAACTGACGCCGATACATGCTCACCCTCACTCACAACCGGATTTTAAACTGACAGAGACCAAAAAATCAAACCATAAGGGAAGAAATAAGAACAATATGGCATATTGACTAACACATTGGAGCCTTTGTATCTCTTGCAGGATTTTCAAGGTTGAGTTGAATGCTTTTAAACCTTTTACAGTGAACCATGTTTGCAAATAAGTTAAGAAAACCGTTTGTGCCATTCCATCAGGTATTAACCAAAATTGTCATGTCTGTTTAGGGTGCAAAAAGAAAGCGACTTGGACTGATGTTTTCCCCTTGGAAGTCATTACATCTGATACACCAACATGCAATGTGTTATTTAATTTGATAAATCAACATGCTTATGTTATTAAACAAGCACATTCTTCCATCCGTGCGCAAAAAGAAAGAATTACTGAAATCGACCCATGTTTTAAGAAGTTATGCATATGTTTCTAAAAGAACCCATTTTTACATGGAATCCTTACTGCACAGAAGCTACTGAGCTGAGTGAGAACCAGAGATTACACACAGGCATTCAAATACTAATTCGATTTCAATAATTTGAGTCAAGACTGAGACAATATTTATTCCTGTTGGATTTTGCATTTTGTATTATGAGAAACAAATCACGTACTTTTTTTTAATGATGATTGTGATTTTTGGCTGTTTACCTTTGCAAGTTTTCATCTATTAATGGAGGTAGAAAGACCTGCATGGTTCATTGTATTTAAAGGGTATGCCTATTCATCAGTAGGTATCGGTAAATGATGAGTGGTGGGCTGGTGAATTTTGTGATAGTTCTTATAATTTAAGAGAAATAACTTTTGAATAGAGTATGCAAATTAAACAAAATTTTCACACATTTACGAGTCAATAACATGTATTACTGTTTTTTGTTATTAAATAGGGCAAGCCACTTTGTTGAAAATATGGGAACCAGGTTTTGACTCACCCTGTGTATGCTGCATCAACGTCGAGAAATTGTGCGTTAAGTGTGAAACTGTGAATGCAATTTTCAGAAACGTGTGTGTATAGTCTATTTCAATTATAAATATTAAAAATATTTCAATTTGAATTTTATTTTTATTTTTATCCTACTAAATTAAAATATTCGGCAAAAAAAATCACGATGCGATTGTAGAAGAGGAGAATTTGTACCAGGTCATGCACTGGAGATTATGAAAAAAAAATAACGGGTTCAGGAACCAGGTTCGTCATGACCCGGGGTACAGCATTAATGTGTCCATGTACTGGCATTCAATGCCCCACTGCAATGTATTATATGTAAATCAGCTAGACGACCACCTAGGTAAATACACTAAAATAGTCCGTGCGACAAATGTTTCTTAGGAACACATTTTGTGGAACTTTGTACCTCTCTGAAATGTATGAAAACTCTTGGACATCCCTTTTTGGTAATTTTTTTTTTGGAAAAGTGCACTTAAAAATTTAAACCTTTCCATGCTTTTCTGGACAACTGAGGGCACTGTTGCTGTAATGTAACTTCGGGAAGACACAGTTCAGTTTAGGGTTTTCCGTTCAAATTGTGAACCAAAAATTTGCTCAACAAATTGTTCATTGCCAACATTGGCAAATGTACTAACACAACAAGGAATCACCAAAGAAAAAAAAACATTTACGACAGTAATATGTCCAAATCAAGCAACTTTTTGAGCTAAAATGAATGTAACATTAAGATTTCTGCTCGGAATAACATCAAAGCTTTGCTCATGAACATGGAAATTTGCATAAGCATAAAAACTAAAAGGCACCAAAATAACCATGAAAATGACAAAACGGAAATTTCAAATAGGTTAAATGGGATACACTGTATTGCAATGTATTCAAGGATTGCATTTAAAAAAAAATACATTGCATGTGCCCTTTAACTCTTAACTCGTGATGTGCATAATTATTTTCATTTTGGTATTAAATGCTCTGTGGTAAGGTAGCACAGACTACACCTGACTTGATATTGTTTCAACTGGTTTGTACATGACGAGGCAGGACACCAGATTCTGGTTTTATCTTTAGGGTTTTTACCAAACCACGGATTCGTTTCCAGCTGCGGCTTCGTGTCTGACTTGAGATTCAATTTAATGTCACAACTCATTGGAAATGTTTATTAT